AAATAATTTATTTTCATCATTTCTTCAAATTCTTGAGGTGTTGTATCTTGAAATTTTTTAGCAAAAAATACACCAGCATTATTAATTAGTACTGTTACTGGCCCTTGTCGTACACATGCTGTTTTTATGTTTTGTTCTACTACATCGTATGATGAACTAACATCAACAGATAAACATAATAATTGACCGCCACCTTCAATTGAATATCGTTGTAATTCTTTTTGACAATCATTTAAACGTTGTTGATTACGTGCCAAAATTGTTACATTAGCACCACGTTTTAATAATAATTTTGCTAATGATTTACCAATACCACGACTACCACCTGTTACAATTACATGAGAATTTTTTAAATTAATTTTTGATGGATCATAAACTGGTCTTAATATATAAAATAGACCAATTACCAAAACTACAATAATTAATGATGTAATAATTAGCATGATCTAAGAATCACTTTTTTTTTTAGTTAAAGATGCTAATCTAAAACACAATGTATATTTTTATTACTACACTATTTCATATTAGAATGAAGAAAGGCACAATTTCTAGCTGCTCGATTTTTTTGGGGGAGAACTAATTGGAGTAGCTAGAATTAGTGGGTATATTCGCCCGATATCAGAAACATGCCTTGATCTGGTAAATTTTGACAAACTTTATCGTATCTGGTTTAAAAGACTGTCGCACAACGAAAGCCTTTTGGCGCCCCTGTGGGATTTTTTCTTGAAACAAAATTTCGTTTCGAAGTTGGTTTTGAGAAAGCAATCAACTTCCGAATGCCGCCGGAAATTTTTTTGGCTTGTACCCTCACCTAGTCCATATTATTGGTTATTTGGAAGGGAATTACTCTATACAATCATTCACCCACTTGGAGCAGCCCTATATCTATAACAATATTGTTTCAGAAAATGCTATTTGAAGATAGACAACAGAAACAACGTTGATTAATTAGAAGGGTATCGATTGGAAGAAAAGACCACATAGAAAGATAGTAAGTATGCCTTTTGAGCATACTGGCACTGTTTGAAATGTAGGATTACCCATCAAAACACTTCTTAGAACATACAATCCTTAGCTTCTTTCGGATTTCCATTCGAGTTAAGCTTAGCCAGAAAAACAAACAGTTCCCAACTTTCATCACTCGAATTGTCAATGACAACATGTTGAATGTTGTCGAAATCAGCAGACGCTGAATTCTCTTATACGTGCGGCTTTGATTTGATGACATCATAAGCGCAAAAGAGTGAATGACGCGCAAGGAATCAGAGTCTGCCAGAGCACATTTTGATGATATAGATGCTAACGAAAAATTTCGTAAAGAGGGAGAATAAGTAGAGGGATCGGGCTTGCCTGCAGCTGCATATAACATAGCCAAAATTAAGTTATATAAAAAATAACTAAGTTGAATACAAAAGAGTCCGTACAGCAGTCATATCTAACTGCTTCTGCTATTTTCTAATGTACATTAAGTAATTCATTTCTATCTTGAGAATAAGAAAGAGAATAGATTTCTAAAAAAATCATGTTAACAATGCAATTTTCGGTTTTTGGAAGAAGAGGTATTCTGCAGGAGAACCCTTCAATTTCACATACTGTACCGTCTCGTATCGGTACGGTATTTTTACTGCGTATCGTCAGTCTCTGCTGTAAAATCAGTACATGGATGAGGAAACACTCAATGTCAAGTCTACATTCAGTGGATGATTTTTATGATAAAAATCTTTCTTCTCGAATGATCTCGTTTCCGATGATATTGCATTTTCGAAGTCAAGTTTTATGTAGAAATCTGTCATCTCATTCAAATCTGTTTTCGAACTTCGACCTACTGAGTAGTGAGTGAATCTCTCTTTCATTTTTGAACTTTATCCAATTTTCTTCTAACTCTTCTCATCGGGTTTTTTTCGCAATTTATTCATTGACAAAAAATTGGAACGCTCATTGAATTTGTTAAGCGTGCTAATGACGATCTTGTCTTTGACATTGAAGAAAGACTTTAGAGCTAACTAATATAGTTATTGAAATATCTGAGACAGTATGAGGATTTATCTTCCAGACCGATATTTTGTCTAATAGAAGCGAAATCCTGTATAGAAGTGATTCATAAAGCTTCTGAATGATTTCGACCAACAACGGTGGCCTTCACGTGAGATTCAGCATCAAATTGTTGAACTGGACAGCAAAATAGTGGAGAATCAAAGAAGATTTATACGGTCATTGTTTGGAGACTCGAGAAGAAACTGTTGCGTTATGGCCTTTTCTACTTACCTGCAGCGTCGACGAGAAGAAAATGAATGTGCGTCAAGGTGTCTCTCCAAAACGAGCTACTTGCGATTAGATAAATGTGTCGTTCGCTTATCAATGTTGACTCATAAAACGAAACTGTTGTCGACTAACAGCGCAATGTAATGCGCCAAAATAATCTTGGAAAAGTATTGCACCACTATCTATCCATTCGAAGAGAACCTTTAATAGTCATTCCGTTGTGGTTTAAATCCTTCAGAGCACTCGTGAAATTTCTAATAATGGAAACGATAAAATATGTTTCATGAATTTGAAACGAACTTTCGGGAGTATTCAGTCTATGAGTTTGAACTTAACTACAGGAGTTTCTCATAAAAAACAAATATGCAGATGTTATTTTATATTATTTTCATTTCACACCGCAAAAAAAATCGTCACACAGAGAGAAACATTCCAAAGAAAAGATTGACAAAGTTGTTATAGTTTCAATTTATATTCAGAATCGAAAGTGATATGTACAACAGGGTGAGAGAACGACAAAAAAGAATGCAGAAGCCGGGAATCGAACCCAGAGACTATTCAAATATTACCATTCAGTCTTTTGCAACTAACAAGAGTGTTCAAGAATGATCTAAATGTCGAACCATATGCAGATCTCTGGCTTGGCAAGCGAATATTCTGCCACTGAAACACCAGTGCTTGTAGTTGATCCCCACGTTTCTTTGCCAGCTGACCTCATACGATAATTAAACTCGATGCGTTCACAACACCGCGTTGTTTTCCACCGAGCGTTTCTGTATACGAAC